CAGAGGCACCGACGGCAATTACAGAAAAGGGCAAGGCAGGTCACTGCCGTCGGTTGGGTTGGATTTTCAGGGGCAGTACGGCGATTGATAGGGGCACCGACGGCAATAGCCGTCGGTGCCGTCGGTTAATTCGAGCCCTGGCGCCATTCAAATTTCGTAGCGTTGATGTATAATTAATTATAACAATTAAATTAGGTATCTGGTAACAAGTACGTGTGGGTATAGAAGATTTGTTATACAAAGTACAGTTGTACATGCAGTAAAATCCTAGAGTCTAGTATCCCTTTAAGGCAAATTCCTTAGTTAAAGGAGAAGTGTCATACTCTTCAGCAAATGTTTCTTTTGGGTACAATACCTTTATTTTAGGCGGTATAGCGTAAAGAATAAGTGTGTGCCACAACGTGTAAAAATTTCAATATACCACTATAAGTCTTAGTGTATACTGGAACTGACAGAGTAATTACAAATTAAGGGTTTAAATTTAGTTAAGTTATGAACTGGCGGCTAACAGCAGTCAGAAACAAACAGAAACAAAATTTAAAACCGTAGTTTCAATATTAGGATCAAAGAATGGATGACGCTGAACAATCGTTTGATATTGGTCAGTTGTCCGCTGAAGTGCAACAGTTGGAAAGCAGATTTGGATACGTGAAGAGACTCGAGACTGCGAACATAGTTATTCGAGAATATGAAACATTGACAGTGTCTAAATTTTCATGCTACAAGGCTGACAAAAACTTCGGACACCGTGGTAAGCTTTAGTCGTGTTGATCAAATTAAGGAATCAATTAATGCTGTAAATAATTTTTAAATTACATTTTATGTTAAAGGTAGGACTTGCTTGCATGTGTAAGAGAAACCATACGTAAATGTATAATGGTCAACATGTCCGCCACACGATTTTGTCAATCACTCGTGTGTGACTATTTATGACCTGTTATTTCTGTGATGTCACATGGAAGTACTCCATCACAGTGCTTGTAATACAGTACCGTTGTCTCATACATGGCTTCTATTTAAATTTCAGACCTGAGTAGTCTTAATGGCGGATACAGGATTCACTGGGAGGATCGTGACAGAAGTTCTTGCACCCTGAAATTTGATCGAATACCGTACATCATACTGGGAGTGAAGCTATACGACTGCCACCACGGAATTGATCGCCAAGCGGCAGCTAAAAGGCTAAAAGTCATAGAAGCTGAAAGGGTAAACAAATGATTTAGCACATATAATGTTTGCAGTGTTTAGAAAGCAGAAAGTAGGGCTGTCATTGATATCAAAATATTTCGATTCGATTATTAAAACGTTTTTTTCCGATATTTCGATCCGATCCGATTCGTATAATATAAATAATATAATATAACACCAAACTCTCCCTCTTGTTAGAAACACCACATGCAGTAGAGAATACCATCTCATATTTCAGCAGAATAACGTATAAGGGGTAAGGTTACAACACTACGGTTTTTTACTAATAATATTTTACTGTACCGGATCGCTATTCTGGAATTTTTTTCGCTATATCGATATTGCACGCAAATCCAGCGCGATATATGACTTGATTGTGGCCAATAACCATGGTGCAACCTTAAGAGAGACTTCTCTATAATCTAGGTAATGATGTAAAGTTCTGTAAATCACATATAGTATTCTTATACAATTTTTCAGGCTGAACAGCATGGCTGTAAAACAAAAAAACAACCGAATACTAAGAAATTTTCTTGCAAGGCAAGCATAAAAATTCGTGAGATATTGAAATTTCCAGAATTCCAGGTAAGACTACACCCAGCAAATTGTACATCCTGGTTAAAAACAACTAGAGCGGTGGTGTACTCTGTTTTCTAAAAGTCTGATCTATCTGCTTATTCTTATATAATGTTTACAGTGAATTATCTATTATAAAAACTTACAATAGATTTGGGTAGAATCATAGAGATGGGAGGAAATTATTTGTGGGTGCATAATATTTATTTGGATTTACAGATTGTAGAAAACACTGTGTACAAGAGAAAACTTGCCTCAAACAGTTTACGGGCTGCCGTTGCATCATCCACCAGTAAAATGGGAGAGAAACGGCTTTACATACATTTGCCTTCAGAGTGTGATCACACTGGGCATTTATTAGGAGAGGTAATGGCATGATTTCATCATTCTGTCATTATGCTTTTATTTGGGAATTATTTCTAAATGATTGAAAATGAGTTTCTTCTTGTGTATTTATTTTCGTTGAATGGCAAGAATTGTATCTGGCGACTATATATAAGCGAATCCGTGTCCAGGTGAATCTGCATGGATCCGATCGGTCAGAACACAAAAATTTCGTATGACTAGGTACAAGTACTAAGTAAAATTCACTGCAAATCTAGTTGCAATCATACTGTGCCAGTCCTGACTTGGTACTTAATCTAAAAGTACTGTTAAGTGAGCACACCGAAATCAAAGAAAAGCACAACATTTTATTTTTAGCTCACATTGACATCGTCAAGATGAGATATTGCCATGGGGTGTTGTCCGTCGTACGTCCGTCCGTCCGTCCGTCAACATTTGGCTACGGTCAATGATAACTCAAGAACCGTTTGACCCACATGTTTAAAATTTCATACAGTTGTTACTCCGATGGGAGAGATTTGCACGTCCTATTTTGAAGCACGCCAGTCGACCTACTTTCGAGCCACGCCCACTTTTTGGCAAAAATGGAAATGGCCATAAGTCTGTTCAGGTTCAATGGATTTTGCTCATTTTTGGTATGTGAATGAATAAGGCCTGGCCCCAAAACATATCACACAGGTTTTGATATTTTTTTTTAATTATGCAAATTAGGTAGATTTTGGCAATTTCACTACGCATTTCAGTGTCTGTCTACGGTCAATGATAACTCAAGAACCGTTTGACCCACATGTTTCAAATTGCATACAGTTGTTACTCCCATGGGAGAGATTTGCACGTCCTATTTTGGAGCACGCCAGTCGACCTATTTTTGAGCCACACGCACTTTTTGGCAAAAATGAAAATGGCCATCTAGATTCATTCGATTTTGTTAAATTTACCTACCTACCTACCTACCTACCTACCTACCTACCTACCTACCTACCTAATCATATCTACGTGTAATATTGTGTTTTAGATTCTTCGTTACAGTAATTTGACTGGAATAGTTTATTGCTTTTATTTGCGCGATAATCGAAAACCGAAATGGCGATCATTTAGGCGTAGCACCATCTCTCGCCCAGATTTCAGACTCAGATCTGAAACATTTATTTTCGCATCAAAACTAACCCTGAAACAAAACAGTAACATTTTTATTAGTATAAAACAGGGAATAAGGACATTTTGATCACATTTCGGTTCATGATAAATGAAACACTTACCAAATTTTAAATATCATCTCCCTCTTCATTTCGAGCCACGCCCACTTTTTGGCAAAAATGAAAATGGCCATCTAGATTCATTCGATTTTGTTAAATTTACCTACCTACCTACCTACCTACCTACCCACCTACCTACCTAATCATATCTACGTGTAATATTGTGTTTAAGATTCTTCGTTACAGTAATTTGACTGGAATAGTTTATTGCTTTTATTTGCGAGATAATCGAAAACCATAATGGCGATCATTTAGGCGTAGCACCATCTCTCGCCCAGATTTCAGACTCAGATCTGAAACATTTATTTTCGCATCAAAACTAACCCTGAAACAAAACAGTGAAATTTCTATTAGTATAAAACAGGGAATAAGGACATTTTGATCACATTTCGGTTCATGATAAATGAAACACTTACCAAATTTTAAATATCATCTCCCTCTTCTATCACACCCAAGGTGAGCTATAGTGTCATTGACACTTTCATTTATTTCTTCTTTTAGGGCAGCTGTATATCTCAACCTTTGGATTCGCGGATCATCAAGAAAGTGTTTGCTTTGGTCGACGAGGGTGTGCGTGACATATCTGTGATAGAAACGCTCATCCGGAGATTTGTCGCCGACGAACTCTTCATTGGGCGTGAACCCCCGTCTTATCTCAACAAACGCTTTCATCCTAGCAGGGCTGCTATCCGTGATCACGCGAACCGAGCGAAATCGGCCGGCCGTGCACGCTGCAGGATAGCTACGTCGTGTCGAGATATATGCGATGAGATATCTAATCTGACCTATCGCATTCACGATGTAACGACACTCTCACACCTGGAACTGCTGTTGAAGGGCTGCTTGAATTCATTAAGGTTTGCACCACAGGAGGATGGTGTTTCGATGAATTCAAGCAGGAAAAATAAATTGGTTATTCTGGACAAACGACTTGAGAAAGAGACGCCATTGGAATCTGTTCGAGAGGTGCAAGAGCAGGAGTTGGATCCGTCAACGTTTAGCATACGTAGTTTGACGACCAGAAAACGGTACCATGCTTCTTCTCGCAGAGTTGCAGGGAAACCGGACTGCATGAAGAAACAGCTTTACATTAATGTGATAGTAACGGATACACCATCACAGATCGCTACAGAAACAACGCGTGACAGAGTAGTTGTGACGGATATGTCATCTCATCTCTCTACAGAAACAACGTGTGACAACGTAGTTGTAACAGATGCACCGTCACAAAACTCTAATTATGCAACGTGTGACAATGTGAAACAAGGTCATGAAATTTGAAAATATACAACCATAGCTGTGGAAGCAGGATTCGAACCAGCCTTTAAACTTTCAAACTGCATTATACAAACAGTAAATAGTTTACCCGGGTGTTGTTACAATCTATAATTATGAGTACCAACAGTATAAAGTCATAAAATCTAAAAATATCCAAATTTCTCTGCTAACCACAATGGCATTCCTGTCAATCACCTGGCAGGAATGCAATTGTGGTTAGCAGAGAAATTTGGATATTGCATTCCTGCCAGGTGATTGGCTAAACCATCAAGTGTATAGTTGTTGTGGAATCATAATTAGTTGCTAGTGCAGATGACGTACGATGGCTTTTGGCATTGGAAATATATTCTAATTCTGAACATGGCAGCACATGGGGGCAGGCCATGGCGATAGAAAAGATGTTCTGCATGTGATGTGGTATAGTAGTGACAGAGCAGAACGTGCTCACAGTGATCAGGTCGGCGATTTTAGGTATTTGTTTTGCATATAATACAGCTTTATGTTTAGAGCCCACGAATATAATGAGAAGGTTTCCATATCGTGTCATGAAAGTCTTTCTATAAATTATTTCTGTCTTTATTATAGAATTGTCTACTACTTGACTTATTAATGTAGAGTTGGCATGCCCCACGTCTGTTCGGGGGAGTTTTACAGTGGGCTTATATATCGTAGTTCTTTGATAAAAAAAACGTTGATCAAATATATATTGCAGTAACAATTATTACATTTTATTATTAGTTTTATTCATAGCATTTCTCAAGTTGTTAATTATGTGGTGGTTAAATTTAAGCAATATTTCTTCAGAATGTTTATTAATTCCAAAAAGACCATCGTGAAATATTTTAGTGATTACACGTTTTGATAATCTTTATTACTTGAGTTTCCCCGCTCATGAAACCAGCACCAGTATAGACAAAAAATCGATCTTCCCAAATGCGTCGTCGTCGAGTTACAAGATTCCGTTCATCGTATCCCTAGCAACGACCTTGAAAGCTTCGAAAGTCTCTTCTCCACACGGCTTGATCTCGGATGGAGGAGCGATGAATCCGTATCTACCCTTGTCCCTCAGCTCAATCGTGTAGGAATACTTCACTCCCGCGACTCCCTTCGCCCAGTCGTCGCTACCACCGGCCCCCACACCTGCGGTAAACATCAACGCGCGTTTAGTAAGTTATCACTAGTGATGTCACGATCATCGATTATACTCGATCATCGGTTGAACAGTGGCTCGAACCAAGCGCTTAGTGATGTCACGATCATCGATTATACTCGATCATCGGTTGAACAGTGGCTCGAACCAAGCGCTTGGTTATCAAAAT